CTCTCTCTCTCTCTCTCTCTCTCCCCAACACTTGGTTACCAACTATGGTCTTAGTGCACAACTTCCCCTCCCCCTTTCTTACACATTAACACGTGAGTCCGCTCAACAGCAGACAAAAGGCAATGTTTGCAGCACGTTTTTTTGCCATCACATACACATAAGAAATATAAATTGCTACTTTCATAGTAGGCGTGTTGTTGCCTGTCTATTGAACCTTTTAGATAAAGAAAACAGAAGTTTAAAAGTTTGTATGAATAATGAAGACAGATGTTCTTCCGTTTTGAAGAGCCCCAAAACAATAATAATCAATAATATATAGCATTTGTGTAGCGCATGTCCCCAATCGAAAGCAAGCTCTATGCGCTTTACACTATACTAGACCATAGAACACTCAGAAACATTCTCAGCTTCCCGGGAAGCATGCAGCGCAAGCAGCTGGTTAAGCGCTCAAACACTAACAAACTGGCAAGATCGTTCACTGTCTATAGCTGGGTACCCATTCCCACCAGGGTGAAATGGGGAAAATTCGTGTAAAGTGCTTTTCCTAATGACACAACGTCGGGCCCGCGGCTCGAATCCTCGAACCCGCAACCTCACGATTACGAGTCCGGTAGCCTAACCACTAGGCCACCGTCTTCAATGTGCATCCACGTTGAGTTTACGTTTCTTTGTCATCACAGACCTAAAATTTCGTCACAGGAAAATGCAAATAAAAAAACACACAAAAAATATACAAGCCATTGCATTGCAGTAAATGTAAACGGTTTCTACTGCAACGCCTTGGTTCCTTACTACTGCAGTCTTTCGGCCACGCCCCAGATCTTATAGTAGGTACGATCTAATACTTAACCCTCTCTGAAAAGGGCTAAAAATCTCGGAAGTCCAGTAAGCAAGTTGCGCACGTTAAAGATCGCTTGGTGGTCCTAAAATCGATAAGAGTAGGCTTCAGCCGCCACCCGGGCAAAATTCAAAATTCCCACCAAACTGAAAATGTGAAGCATGTCCCGCGCGCTCCCATAACCTAATGCAGTTGCGAACGCTGTAAAACATTTACCGAAACAAAACAATTCTAACTGGAACCATATGAATGGAGTTATTCCAAGTTTAGTGAACCAGTAGCCGTATACTATATAGCAATACCCTTTAATTTTGTTACGCTGTGCCCC